GCACACCTGTAGATCGCCGTACTCGGTGAGCCTGAGGACGCAAGGATCACTTGAACCTGGGGAAGCGGAGGTTGCAGTGAGTTGGGACGATCCACGCCATTTACTCCAGCTTAGGGCCCAGGGGAGAGATTCTGTCTCAAAAAAAAAAAATAAAATACTAGGCTTTGGTTGTATAGGAAATATAAAAATCTTTGATTGCAGGTTACTTTTTTTTTTTTTTTTTTTGAGACAGAGTCTTGCTGTGTGGCCAGGCTGGTGTGCGCGTGTGTTGATCGCTCACTGCACACCTCGCCTCCCAGGTTAAGTGATTCTCCTGACTCGCCTCCGTGCAGTAAGCTGGGATTGCAGTTGCGCAACCCGATTGCCCAGCTATTTTCTTTTTCAAAAAGAAAATTGAGCTGAGGGCATGGTTGCCGAAGACTGCAATCCCAGCTACTCGAGGGCTGAGTCAGAGAGATCACTGTGACTGGGAGGCGAGGTTGCAGTGAGCGAGATCACCACCACGCGCAAACCAGGCTGGGCCACACAGCAAGACTTGTCTCAGAAAAAAAAAAAAAAAACAAAAAAGTTACCTGCAATTCAAAGGATGTCTTTAATATTTTCACTTACAACAACATGCTCTATTTTTTTTTTTTTTTTGGACAGAATTCTCTGTGCCTAGGCTGTGTAGCAATGGCGTGATCTGTCCACTCACTTGCAACCTCCGGCTTCCAGGTTCAAGTGTATTCTGTGCTTTCAGTCTGTTGTGTTGGGTTATTACAGGTGTGGTTTTTTGTGCGCCCTACATCCGGCCTAATTTTTGTATTCTTTTATCTTTGTTCTTAGTAGCGATGGGGGGTTCCATGTTGGCCAGGCTTGGTCTCGAAACGGCTGATCTCAGGTGAATCCACCACCCCAGCTCCAAAGTGCTGGGATTACAGGCGTGCAGCCAATGGGCGCTGGCCCTAAGACTCTATTTTGGTATTCAGAAAAGACACTGGTTAACTTAAGTTTGGTTAAGTAAAATGCCTGGCTTTTTTTCCTTCGAGATGCTGAAATGTCCAATGTAAAAGTCTTTGCTACTGGCCATTGGTAACATTTTAACTAAGCTATCAATTCTACTATAAAAATCGCTTGCTTTAGACGTGTTATGGTGCTGGTTAAAATACAAGGATTAAACAAAAAAAATGCTGACGTCTGTGATTGAGCCCAGGTGCCTCCATTGCTGCCAGACCGGCAGGTGCTGCGAGCCAGGCGCCAGAAAGAAGCTGGAAGCTATTGTGTTAGTACCGGTGTGTCTCGAACTGCACTTAATGTCAATGTTTACTCGTTAGGGAGTCAGTTACCCCACATGGGACTGACTAGAAGGTGCTCTGGGCTCTGTTTTTTCTCTATGTTGACTAATACCATGAAAATAAATTTTCCAGGATGTTTTATATACTATGAAATTCCTTACAACTAACTTAAAACTTGTTTCCTTTGGTTCAAATGACAATATAAGAGAAGAAGAAAGCAACCACCACTGTCCATATTCCTCACAATTTGGTTGCAATTATATAGAAAACATTGTCTAAATGGGTTTGATTTTGAATGTCTACCCCTTCGCACACTAATGAAGTTACCGCGTAACAAAATTCCCGCTCAAGGAGAGTTACATCCTCAGTTCGCGCTCCTTGTGCTCACTCTAATAGTGCCTCCATTTCGCGCTGTTCCAATTATAGGTTTTAAGTTATTCGCAATGGTTAGGAAGCGCAAGCTTTAAATAGATAAAACAGTTGTAGTTTTCCAAAGCTAAGAATGAAATAGCATTTTTCGAATCCATGGGGAAAGAAGAGGATACGACCCAAAAGCAGTTTCTCTTACAGCTATACAATTAACATCTGAAGGTGAAAACCACATATCTAGACGAGCTATTTTGAGAAACTATCGGGTGTGACGCCGGTTACCTACCGTAGGCTGCGAATGCGATTCGGTAGAGGAGGTAATGGCATGTGCATTTTGTGAAAACAATACCTGGCTAGTTTTTTGTATTTTTTTTTTAGTAGAGACGGGGTTTCACCGTGTTAGCCAGGATGGTCTCGATCTCCTGACCTCGTGATCTGCCCGTCTCGGCCTCCCAAAGTGCTGGGATTACAGGCTTGAGCCACCGCGCCCGGCTGATTGACAGCTCTTTTGTCTGATTTGTTGGCCTTTGAGCTTTGAGTGCCAAATTGGACTCCATAACTGTCAAATGAAGGATGGGTATGATCTTCTCACTTTGGCACATAAGACATCAGTGCCATCCTTTTCATGGCTGTGAAGGCTCCATTATATGGCTGTGCCTTGATGTATTCAACCAGCACCTGCTGGGAGCTGCTTCAGGTGGTGCTAGAGTTGATATCCTCGACCATCCATCCTTTTTTTTTTACTTTTTTTGAGACAGGGTCTCACTCTGTCACCCAGGCTGAAGTGCAGTGGTACAATCATAGCTTACTACAGCCTGACCTCTTAGGCTTAATCGATCCTTCCACCTCAGCCTCCTGAGTAGCTGAGACTACAGGTGTGTACTACCATGCCCAGCTAATTTTTGTATTTTTTGTAGAGATGGAGTCTCTAGGAGCCATGTTGCCCAGGCTGGTCTCCAACTCCTGGGCTCAAGCGATCTGCCTGCCTTAGCCTCCCAAATGCTGAGATTACAGGCATGAGCCACTGTGCCCAGCCAATCCATCTTTTAATAAGCTTGATTTTAAGTCCAGTATTTTCTTGGGACCATGGAGAAATAAGCATTCATAAATAATTTACTGTTTATGTTAACCAAACCTTACAGGACAGTCATATTGTCACTGATTAATAATTTTGCTTTGATTTTAAAAATTGATTTTTTTTTTTTTTAAGATGGAGTCTTGCTCTGTCTCCAGGCTGGAGTACAGTGGCGTGATCTCGGCTCACTGCAACCCCCGCATCACGGGTTCAAGCGATTCTCCTGCCTCTGCCTCCTGAGTAGCTGGGACTACAGGTGCGCACCACCACGCCCAGCTAATTTTTGTATTTTTCGTAGAGACAGGGTTTCACCATGTTGGCCAGGCTGGTCTCGATCTCTTGACCTCGCGATCTACCCGCCTCGGCCTCCCAAAGTGCTGGGATTACAGGCATGAGCCACCACGTCCAGCCAAAAAAGTATATTTTAATGCGTTTTTTAAATTCTCATTTTTTCCTGAAGTGGATTATGCCTTTAAGGCTATAGATTTGTGAATTCTGGAAAGTTCAGCAGCTGCAGAGCCCTCTTGTAGTGGCAGACAATGGACCCCATAATCAACTCCTCTCAGATGGCCATGCCAAAGAGGCTGTGCTGTTGAATGCGTCTCTGCTTGAATTAGCGTGAATTAACTATTGGTTTTATTCATTATTGTTATTTTACTGGGAGTTGGGGAAGGACAGCTAAAAGTTTGTGAATCTATGACTTAAACTCCAAGGATTGATATAGTAGACTGTTCTGAGATAGTTTCTGAAAAACGGGTTACATATCTCTGCTGCTTTGTGGAAAAGAGGTCAAAGTACTGGTCTATGATGGGTCCCATTTGAGTGGCTTGTTCTGAAGTTGACCTTTCTGATTACTAATTAGTAGTGAAAAAACTTCCCCTGTGAGGTACAGGCTCTTGTACTTCATTAAAAGAGACTCTCTCTGGACTGAAAAGCAAATAAACTCCCTCTCTGGAACTCTGGATGAAAGCACATCTCTCCTGTTGGAGTATGGTTGTGTGTGTGTGTGTGTGTGTGTGTGTGTGTGTGTGTAGTATTTTTACCACCCACTTTGATAAAGCGTATCTCCACAGCACGCAGCACCTTGGCCTGAATCAGCCAAGGACCTATACCTGGGCATTCGGGGGATGCAGTGGCTTGCCTTCCGTTTTCTTTTTGGTAGAGACATGGTCTCACTATGTTGTCCAGGCTGATCTCAAACTCTTGGCCTCAAGCAATTCTCCTGCCTCAACTTCCCCATGTGCTGGGATTACAAGCATAGTTCTAGGGTACTGGCCAAGTTCTAGGGCCTCCTCCCACACCTGCAGAATCAGGAACTCTGGTGGTGAAGGCCAGCCATATGCATTTTTAAGTCATCATTATATTTTGAGACAGGGTGTTGCTCTGTTGCCCAGGCTGGAGTGCAGTGGCATGATCATAGCTCACCATAGCCTTGAACTCCTGGGCTCAAGCCTTCCTCCTCTCTCAGCCTCCCAAGTAGCTGGGACAACAGGTGTGTATCACGGCTAGTTTTTAAAATTTTTTGTAGAGACAGGGTCTCATGATGTTGCCCAGGCTGATCTGAAACTCTTAGGCTCAAGCGATCCTCCCACTTCAGCCTTCCGAGTAGCTAGGACTGCAGGTGTGTGCCACCATCCCTGGGTAATTTTTACTGGTTTTTGTAGAGATGGGTCTACTAGCTGTGTTGTCCAGGCTGATCTCGAACTCCTGGCCTCAAGCAATCCTCCCACCACCTCAGCCTGGGATTACGCTTTCTTTTTTTCTTTCTTTCTTTTTCTTTTTTTTTTTTTTGTTTTTTGAGACAGCGTCTTGCTCTGTTGCCCAGGCTGGAGTGCGGTGGCGCGATCTCGGCTCACTGCAAGCTCTGCCTCCCGGGTTCACGCCATTCTCCTGCCTCAGCCTCCTGAGGAGCTGGGACTACAGGCACCCACCACCACACCCAGCTAATTTTTTGTGTTTTTAGTAGAGACAAGGTTTCACCGTGTTAGCCAGGATGGTCTCGATCTCCTGACCTCGTGATCCGCCTGCCTCGGCCTCCCCAAGTGCTGGGATTACAGGCGTGAGCCACCGCGCCCAGCCGGATTACGCTTTCTTTTTTTTTTTTTTTTTTTTTTTGAGATGGAGTCTCGCTCTATCGCCCAGGCTGGAGTGCGGTGGCGCGATCTCGGCTCACTGCAAGCTCCGCCTCCCGGGTTTACGCCATTCTCCTGCCTCAGCCTCCCGAGTAGCTGGGACTACAGGCGCCCGCCACCTCGCCCGGCTAGTTTTTTGTATTTTTTTAGTAGAGACGGGGTTTCACCGTATTAGCCAGGATGGTCTTGATCTCCTGACCTCGTGATCCGCCCGTCTCGGCCTCCCAGAGTGCTGGGATTACAGGCTTGAGCCACTGCGCCCGGCCTGATTACGCTTTCTTACCACCCCTCATGTGCAGAACCTGGGTGGTGGCCTCTGAGGTTTTCTAGCCCAGCAGACATGGCTTGAGGATGTCAAAAGTTTGGTTCCCTCAACGGCTATATACTTAGAGTGCCTGCTTGGTGCTAGGCAGAAACCAGAGGCTGGGGGATTTTGTTCTTGGCTGTACAAGCCTTTTGGAGGACTATGGCAGCTATTTTGTGTTTGCTGAGAATCTGTTTTCTTTTTGGAGAACTGAAGATAACTAAGTGATGTGCCGGTTTGAAATCAGAGAAGTGCAAGAAGCGCCAGGATCAAAGCGCTCTAGAGATACAGGGAGTGGGAGTGAGGATATGCAAGAGTCTGAAAAACAGCAAAGGTGATCCAGGCTTTGGTTCAGTTCCCATTTCATTTTGGAGGTCAGTCATTTGCTTTGAATGGTGTCTACTGCCCAAGGTTACTGGGAGCTGCATCTCCCAAGGGCAGTGGTGTGAGGTACTGAAGCTTAGAGGTCAGAAGTCCAGCTGAGTGTTACCTCACTCGTGAGGCAGATTACTCAGCCTCTCTGTGCTGCTTCCCTTGTCTGTGAAATAAATTCAAGCTCTGCAGGGCAAGGCCCATGTGTGTTCATTCACCATTGTGTCCCCAGCACTCCTCACAGGGCCTGTCACAGAGTTAGCATCCAATATCTAATTATTACCCTGGTCACATTCTTGTATCTCACGTTGAGGACTTGAGCTGAACAGGGTTTTTATGTTTTGATCACAAAGTGTCACTTAACTAACCAATTATTATCTTTAAAAAACATACATCTCTTGAGTTGTTTCTTACCCTTCTGTTCAGGGTAAGGGGACAGGGACATTCCCGTGGTCCCCATGTGGCATTCAATGTTATGAAAACCTGGATTCTGGGAACACAGGTTCTTTCTGTGAGGTGATGTTCATGGCCGCTGTTTTGGGAGCAGCCTTGTCCGGGGCGAGGTCCCCACTGCCCTGCTTTGCCTGTCTCCTCCCCAGGTACAATTTTGTGATGCTGGCCCTGTCCTCCTCATTCCTGGTGTTATCCTATCTCTTGACCCGTTGGTGTGGCAGCGTGGGCTTCATCTTGGCCAACTGCTTTAACATGGGCATTCGGATCACACAGAGCCTTTGCTTCATCCACCGCTACTACCGAAGGAGCCCCCACAGACCCCTGGCTGGCCTGCACCTGTCGCCATTCCTGCTCGGGACATTTGCCCTCAGCGGTGGGGTTACTGCTGTTTCAGAGGTGAGACTCCCTGAGCCATCATGCCACATGCTCCTGCAGCTGCCCCGCTGTCCCTCCCTCTAGGCCTCCCCTTCCTGCCCTGCCTGAACCAACTGGACAAGGATTTGCCTCCTCCTGTCCCCTCCCCAGGCCTCTAGGGCAGCATCTTCTGATAGATGTGACAAGAGAATGTTGCCATTAGGGAGAGAATGGACTCGCAGTATGGCTGTTATACCTTTTATCTGACTTAGAAACTGGAACCACAGCGGCCTTCCCTGGCTGGTCCCAGAGGAAGGAGGTATAGACTGAGGAACGGGCACTGACAATTGTTTCTTTCCCAGGTGTTCCTCTGCTGTGAGCAGGGCTGGCCAGCCAGACTGGCACACATTGCTGTGGGGGCCTTCTGTCTGGGAGCAACTCTCGGGACAGCATTCCTCACGGAGACCAAGCTGATCCATTTCCTCAGGACTCAGTTAGGTGTGCCCAGACGCACTAACAAAATGACGTGACTTCAGGGAAGCCTGGACACCTGAGGCACCTGGACCAGCTATGGGCGGTTCTGTGGGTGGAACACATATTCTGTGTAAGAGCCCCCCGAGGGCTCTGCAGCGGAGTGACAGCAAGCCCAGAGGTGAGGCACCAGAGAGAGCATGAGACACCTGTGACCATTCGAAGTCTGAAATGCGGAGGAGGAGTTTCATTTTTAAGTGAAGACCAAAAAGCCCTTTAAAAATAATAGAGTTTTTTCATCATTTTATTTTCTCTTTTACTAATGTACTCATTCCTTTTGAGTGTGATTGGCCTTTGGAGCTACATGCTCCAACAAACTATGTCTTAATTGTTAACAATTATCTGGCCCAGAAAAAGAGATGCAACGATTTTACCCTTCAGAGGAATTTTGAACGTCTTCTGTAAAAGAGAGAGCAAGACCTCTCTCTTTCATTCACCACATGAAAACAGAGAGTGGCCCTGAAGTTGTGGCTTTCTCTGTGTCAACACTGTGGTCTGAGTTTTTAGAGAAGGAAAAATGCTACTCAGTGAGAAATCCAAGAAATGAAACCAGAAAGGTTTTCAGATCACATTTCCCAGAGTGAGTTAGGGAGAATCTTGCCTGTCATGATCACGCTGTTCCCCGCCGCCCCGGGTCAGCACATACTTGACCCAGAGTGGGCTCTCAAGATTTGTTAACTGAAGGGTGGGTGAAAGCTGGCTGGAGACTCCTGGCCTGGCCACCTGCAAGAGGCGGACTTTGAAGAAAACTGATCCAGTTGAACCATTTTGTCTCTGAAGGGAATACTGCTTTGCAGCTTTCTGTAACTTCTCACATGGGAATTGCACTGGTGACAGATAAGATTTAACAGATGTATTTTTTTATCTTCAGAATAAGACAGGGCAAACTCTATATGGCAAGTATTACTGAGTCAGGCCCCTCCTGCTGACCCATTATTTCCAGCACTGATCAATATAACCAAATTCCAGCCCCAGGACAAGAGTGGCAGGCATGGGGGCCTGGTGCTGCAGGCTACAGTGTGAGCCCAGGCATTCTGAACCTTGCAGCCTGCACCCTGCAGGTGAGATCATGAGCAGTGTTCTGGAGTGTAAAGTGTTTTTTCTTTTTTCATTAATGTATTAATTCCTTTTGGATATTAACTCCCCTCAGACCTACATGCACAAACTATAACTTGGATGTTAATAATCCTCTCACTCAGTGCCCCAAACCTTCTGTGTGTACACCCAGAGAGAGGGCCAGTAAGGGCAACTGCTATCATGCATTAAAATGCATGTATTTAAATCTGCTTGCCCAGAGCCAGTACCCAGGGGCTAAGGATCAAGACCTGTCAGTACAACAAGACTGGGGCCCAGTCACCCTGGCAGGTTTTTATCTACTCAGAGGGAGAACGCTTTGCACTAAGCAGGAGAAAAGCAGCTAAATGCAAGGTGTCCTGAGCAATTAGAGGACCTCCAAAGCATGGCCTCAGTCGTGCCTTCATAGGGCAAGGTCAGGCCAGCTCAGAAAAATGGATGGTCCCATGGGGTCAGTTGGAGCACACACAGAAGACAGTCCTCCTTTGCTCCCATGTCCATTCTCTGTCCTGGCATCCACAGAAAGGGGCCTTCAGTCCTCATGAGCTGCTTCTCTGCAGCTGCTGATCACCCTCCCAGAACCCTGCCCCTATCCCATGCCCACATGACCCCAGACTCAAGCATGATCCTCATTCTACCTGTCTTGGAATCACCTGGATTACAAGTCAGAACGTGGCTTCCCCGGACCCGCTCCAGGCCTTCAGGGTCTCTGTCTCCCAGTAGAAGGGCTCTGAGATTGGCTTTTCTGGCAAGCCCACATGGCTTTGATGCCACCAAGGTTGGCATGCCCCATTGTCTTCCTTCACAACAGGCCCAGGGCCAGTCATGCTCATGCCTGTTCTCTGCTCCAGGAACAGAGCTGCTGTTCCACCAGCAGCCTTGTGACTCCGTGGCCTCTGGGAGCAGGACTCCCCAGGCTTATACTCTCTCAGCTTGAGAGAGGGTCTATGTCTGAAGGCAGTCCTCACTGTCATCCCTCCCCTGCTGTTGGCCTAATGATGCTGTCAGGGCCAGCTCCTCTTGAAAGACAGCCAGCTGCGAAGGCAGCCCAGGGCTTCTTCCCATGTCCTGCTTCCCTGTGTCTAGGGAGAGTCGTGCCTGTGGCTGCGAGTTTTCCCAGGACTAGCACCTGCCGCCGGGGCTGTCAGCACTTTGGCAGCAGGTCCTCTGCGGTTCTCTGCCTCTGGCACCTCCCTAAAGCTCAGCTGAACCTGACCAGGCCTCTGGCATTTCCCCTGCTGGACCCCCTAGAGCCACACCTGTTGCCTCAGGGAGCTTGCATACATGTGGGCCAGCCTGCCTGACTTTACCCAAGCAGATTTGGGGAGAGAAATCATACTTTGGCTTTAAATACCACTTAAAATATCGTGAGGCTACTTCTCCATGGAAACAAGTCTCTGAGGCACAACCTTTATGAAAGGAAGGAGTCTTCGTTAGTGAGAAGAACAGTATCTCTGACTTCCTGTGCTCCTCTGGCCACCTGTAAGTGTGGGTCACTTCAGATTTGGCTTGGGGTCTCTCAGTGGGGAGCTGCTGCTGCGCTGTTTAATGCTTACCTGACAGCAACTTCTGGCTCTGGAGCCACTCCTCTGCCCTGCTCCCAGCCGCTTCCCAACCTGCTTCAAGCGGGGCCCCTCCTTCCTCCTGTCTTTATTCTTTTCTTTTCAGAGGCCAGGTCTCACTCTCTCCTCTCACCCAGGCTGGAGTGCAGTGGTGTCATCATAACTAATTGCAGCCTCAAACTCCTGTGCTCAAGCAATCCTTCCACCTCAGCGTCCTGAGTAGCTGGGATCACACGTGTGTGCTACCTCACCCAGCTAATTTCTAATTTTTTTTTGTAGAGACTGGATCTCACTGTTGCCTTGAACTCCTGGGCTCAAGTGATCCTCCTGCCTCAGCCTCCCAAAGTGCTGGGATTCCAGACCAGCCACATTTTTTTTTAAATCATGCATTCCTGTTGCTAGTTTCACATCAGTCCCCTGGTTTAAAAAGAAATAAAATATTTTCTTTACACTTTTGTAAAGACCTTTCTTCTTTCATACCCCTTCTCCCTCCAAAAGGGACAAAAATTCTTTAATTTCATAAGGAGGGTGGGTAAGTAACTTGAGGATGTGAACCTTTGGTGTTTCTCAACTGGAACGTTTCTACCTCCATTGATGTTGTAGCTGGGACTGGGGTTCTTGACTTTGAAAGAGGGGTGGTGTCCTGGCATGTGCCACAGAGCCTCCTCTGTCTGGGACAGAAAGGCCTGGCGTCTCCTTTATCTTCTCCCCGTCCCATCTTAAGCTGTATTTCCCGTTGTTTGCAGGACTTCTCTCCTATCTTCTCCGTCTGGCCTGGTCCTTGTTTTGTTTTTTTTTTAATTAAATGGCCATTCCTTGAGAAGTCAGGACTAGTTTCAGCGCAGAGCAGGGCAAGTGTGTGATTTCAGGGGGTCTAGGGCAGCCCCTTCACTCTAATATCTTCCTCCATCAGGTGATAGAATTTCCTTTCACCTGGTCACAGGCTGCTATTCCAGAATTAGAGAGGATACTGGAAATTCAGATTCCACAGAGAACTCAGTGACTCATTCACACTAAGATGTAAAATAACCCCATCAAGATTTATTTCCTTTTTGTTCTCTGGTGGGAGGAAAAACGAAAAAAGAATTATTTGCCAGGCCAGGCGCTGTGGCTTAACACTTTGGGAGGCCAAAGCAGGATGATCGCTTGAGCCCAAGATTTTGAGACCAACCCGGGCAACACAGGGAGACCCCATCTCTACAAAAAAAAATTAAAAACTAGCAGGGCATGGTGGCATGCACCTGTAGTCCCTACATGGGAGGCTGAGGTGCAAAGGATTGCTTGAGCCCAGGATTTCGAGGCTGCAGCGAGCATGTTCGCACCACTGCACTCCAACCTGGGCGACAGAGCAAGAAACTGCAACTGAAAAAAAAAAAAAAAAAAGGAATTATTTCCTAAGCAGCTTTTGATGTTGAGGAAGAAACAAGCAGGAGCTGAGAGCATCCAGAACCTGGAGGAGGAGGGACTCAGGTGAGAGGCTGGGCAGGCCCAGAAGTGGGGAGCTGTGAGTGCTGCTGTGTGGCCTCTGGGATGGATGGAGTTCATTCCCAGTGGGAAATCAGGAGCAGCATGATCCCTGGCCTAGTCTTAGAAGAGCCATGGCTGAAAATGGGGTGGGGACTAAAGAAGAGAAAGAATCTGAACAGGGGACACCCTTCATATATTTTATTTATTTCTTTATTTGTTTGTTTGTTTGTTTGTTTATTAAGACAGTCTCGCTCTGTTGCCTGGGCTGGAGTGCAGTGGCGCGATCTTAGCTCGCGGCAACCTATGCCTCCCAGGTTCAAGCAATTCTCGTGCCTCAGCGTCCCAGTAGCTGGGACTGCAGGCATGCACCACCACACCCGGCTAATTTTTGTATTTTTAGTAGAGACAGGGTTTCACCATGTTGGCCAGGCTGGTCTGGAACTCAAGTGACCTCAAGTGATCTGCCCGCCTCTGCCTCCCGAAGTGCTGGGATTAGAGGCATGAGCCACCTTGCCTGGCCTCCTTCACATATTTATACACTCCTGCTCTTTGTGGGGGCCAGGCACAGATGGCAAGTGAGACAGGCGTGCAGGGGGCTTGCTAGTGAGGAGAGCTCCCACCAGCAGCTCGATCCTGAGCACCTTTGGGAGCTGACCCACGGACTCATGAAGCTGCTTGCACAAGGTTCTCAGTGGCCCTAAGGAAGAGTTCTAGAAGGCACACTGGAAGCCAGGAGGCCTGTGGAGCCTGTCAGAAAGGACCAGATTTGGAAAGAAGATGAGCTAAGGCCCAAGTATTAGGGGTCCCCTAGAAATTTATCAAAGACAATGAAACACAGAAAACTAGAAAAAGCAGCTGAAGGCTGGGCGTAGTGGCTCGCGCCTATAATTCCAGCACTTTGGGAGGTTGAGGCAGGTGGGTCACCTGAGGTCAGGAATTTGAGACCAGTCTGGCCAACATGGTGAAACCCCGTCACTACTAAAAATGCAAAAATTAGCCGGGCATGGTGGCAGGTACCTGTAATTCCAGCTACTCAGGAGGCTGAGGCAGGAAAGTCACTTGAACCCGGGAGGAAGAGGTTGTGGTGAGCCGAGATTGTGCCACTGCACTCCAGCCTGGGTGACAGAGCGAGACTCCATCTCCAAAAAAATAAGTAAAAAAGAAAAAAAAAGCAACTGAATAAGATCACTATTCTAAAATTTATTTACTGAATATTCCATGAGTGTCCAGGAAGTAACTGAGACTTGTGTATTTAATTTGGAAATGAGACTTCTGAGACAATCAGATGCAGAGGAAAAATTATTTGCTTCACTATTATTTACTTACCTAAGAGGATTGGTCCTTAATGTTGTAAATATTTCATTTGCTAACTAACTTTCAAGGTAGCAGAAAAGGTGTTTTACTTGAAGAATTTGAGGAGAGGGAAGACTATTGATTTGCATTATCAGTCAGTCCCCAATTACCTTGGCATAATCAGTCCCATTATTTAGTGTTACTCATTTTTAACCAGAACTGTCTGGGTATATCAGAGCACAATTGGGAAGGTGGGCTCTCAATGTAGTCCAGCCTCCTTTGGGGGCCGAATGAAGGGAGACTTAGAAATACTTCTTAATTATCCTTCAGATGAATTAGCAGTAGTTGCTGTTAGCCCCTGTTCCAGTGCAGTCGACTCTTCGCCAGTTGACTTCTCCATTCTTCTTGGGAAGTGCGGCTTGAAAGGAAAGTGCTGGAGGTGAGATATAGAGAATTAGGTCTTTCCTTGCATGTCATAGATCCTCAGCAAAGTAAG